GGATGTAGTGCGGACCAGAGGTCCCAGGTTCGAATCTCGGGGGTTCCAAACCTTGACATCGGGTATAACTAGCTGATGGCGGTCAACAAGCCAGAAATGGCCATTTCGGTCTCCTTTTGCTTTGTCGGATCCACTCCATATTTCAAGGGGAGCTTGACCATATTGCAAACCGCACCCGATAGGACAACGGATGCGTTCGAATCCCAGGTTATCCAACATCGGCTTGAACAGGCCTGGCAGACGACGACGAATGTGTCCCTTAACGCGATGGGTGAGGGTCCGTCTACCTTTGTCAATAGAACTCGATAATAACCGGCAGAATAGGGAGCCTGTGGCTCAATGGTGATGGCATTGGACTTCTAACTGAAGAGTCGCGGGTTCGAGCATCGGGGAGAGCAACACCTGCAAATGGGTTTGGTTGACCGCAGACGACCAATGAGCCAAAAACGGCCATTCTAGTCTTTCGTGTAATATAGTAGTCTCTGAGCCGTTCGTGACGAGACACAAGATCGGCAGAGTATGTCAAAAAACGCGATCACTGAGCGCTCCCTTTATGATTGTTAATTTATCCGATCGTCACCGAAAAGACAACGAGCCCAACCAACAATTCTCGGGTTCAGGGCTCAGGGAATGCACCACCTGGAGTTGAATACGGCTGGCTGATAACGGCTAATAAGCCGAAAATGGTCATTACAGCCTCTCTTCTTCGTGTCGGTACTTGCTCATGCAGCCCAACTGGTGGCTATGCGACCTTTGGGCTCTAAGCCGAAACAGGATAGCCGGTCTAGATGGGTGAACGCACTTCAAACGATATCACAAATCCGTGAGTGTAACTTCTGTCAAGTCGTGCTAGGTAGTATTTTTGACAAAAAAGTTCTACATTTCAACTTCTTATAACCACAGGTCTTGCGTTTACAGGCCTTGTTGGAGAGATAGGATCGTACATTCGCCAACTGAATATCTGATGTAGGCTTTTGAGGCCCTGAGAGTGTTGAACTGGACTCCAACGCGAAAATGGATTATATGGATCGCAGGCCTAACATCGCGACTATGTTCTTCAAATGTAGTGCCTTGCAGTGAATCGTGATTAGTAAAAATATAAACGTATTTATTGAGCATATAATCCACCATCTGATGATTTTGTAATTAATCGATTCTAGAGAATACGTGTCTTCCTAAATTACTTTATTGCATTAGTATACTTGTTCAGGATTTCGGAAAGGAACAGAGACGCATGCTGTAAAAATAATAAGTCGCAATGCGATAGCACGGGCGACACAACGAAAATTATACCGTTAAAATCCTATGGCTCACAGACTCCAGTACATCTGAATGGTATTCAACAGATAGTGCAAGTGGAAAGGACGCATGCCTGGCTGCGAATAGCATCTCTATATTAGCAAGGTGCCCATTATAAAGAGGGACAGGACGTTAAACGCGCGAACGAAGCGTGCAGGATTTCTATGTACGACTAATTTTAAACTGGTAAAAGTTTTTGGACATATTGTGCACGAGGCATCTTGGGAATTTTGAATACGGGTAGGTCCCCAACAGCCGCACCGATTGTTTGTTCGAGGTTGCCTCCTCTAACGCTTTGGCTCAATAGCCTAACAACAAGGCAGTGGTGGCAAGCGAACTTATTTGATGACGGTTCACGTTTGCCATGTCACAGCGCCGTCGTTAGGCTTTGGGACGCTTTATAGGCTTTTGGCTTGCCACACCTCAGCCCGCCGCACCCTGGTCCACGACTGTCTATT